CAACTTTGTACACAATGACTTGCTGTGACTCTCCCGCGCTCCTTTCATCTTGAGATCAATCTTAAATGTTGATTGAGATTACGAAACAACACTTTCAGAATTAAGCAAATGATTTAATGATGGCGTTTTCTGTGAGCACAAAAGCGTAATCATCTAAATGAATGATTAAGTGATCTCATTTGCTGTGAACGCAGAGATTGATCATTGAAACAAATTTGTTATTAATTCAACAAACTATGTCAAGCAGTTGCTTCTACAATCGCTAGATGTGTTTTGGAAGAGGAAGAAAAATGAGCAACAATTTCTTTTTGAAAAGGTTCAATTGCTAATAATCTCTGCAATGGCTGTATTATTATCGTTGCCCGTATCTTTGCTAGTTTCAACCCTGAGGTTGCATATTACTACTCGAATGGCTTTATTAGCAACATCAGAAATTTCGGATCAGAGTTCAAACATGATTTCTGGAAATGTGAATTCTGACAAGTATTATTTCATTATGCGTCTGTTGTCAAAAAATCGGAATTTGACGTTTTTCGAACGAAATGGAAATTTGTTCGCTGATTCTCTATTGATTGGTTCACTTGATAATAACGCTGTTAACACACTAAATATTATATGTTCTAATGATATTTCGCTAAGGATCACAATGAATAATAATATATCAAAAACGATGCTATCACCATCATTGTGTCGACGAAATTCTCAATTAAGTATGCTTTAAAATTACAATTATATTACGGTATCTGTTACCAACGATGTTAATGGTATGAATTATTAGTAATATGTATATAGTATGTCGGAAATATATAAATTGTCGCATTAATTAATTATTGAAGAATCTTTTAAGGAAAAGATATTGTTGATCACAATCTTATATATGTCAGGAAAACTTTTGATCGGTGAAAATACTGTAGGATTGACACTGTGTGATACTGTAAGATAATACTGTAAGATATTATGAGGTAATATTGCAAGATATTTCTGATTAAGGGATTGAACAATACAACGATAGATTTCCTTAGAAACTTGGATTGAGAAGGGATTGTTGATGATCATCTTATTACGTAGATGATAAAACATAGTTATCCATTTCAATGATTTTGAAAAATATTTTTATTTTTCCTTCACTGAAAGGATAACAATACAAGTTGTAACTTTTGCTTAATTCAATTTATATTAATCAATTACAAGAGGTTAAATTGAACATTTTAGAGGTGCAAATTGGTGGTACAGAAGGAAATGAGAAGGGTTCTTTGATGGTTGTGTGGGAAATGTTACTATTGCTGCAAAAGTTTTATTGGATCGATGGTGCAGGTTAGTTAAATTTGTAGCACGAATGATGATTGTAATTTAATGCCAATAATAGGATACGGATTACTGCTATTTTTCATAACATCAATGATCTTTCTGTCTTTGCCTTTCTATTTCTTTCCCTCTCTTTTTCTCTCTTATCACAGATGAAATGAAAAAGAGTAGAGCAGAAAGATGTTTAATTAAGCTTTAGGAAACACTGATATCATTTGATGTAAAATGAGAAGAATACCGATATTTTTTAAGAGGATATGAAATTTTACAAACTTTGAAAAGAATTTCAAAAATATTTAGCAGTGATGAGAAATCACAACAGCATCAACAACAACAACAACAACAACAACAAAATGATATAAACGAGCAATCAGATGGACCACGTCCTCCGCCACATCATATGGGATTACCGCATTTTACAGAACCATTAATTTTGGATGAGGGAACAATTGCTCCAATACAGAGTTGGAATATTTACGCTTTTTCAAGACATCATTATGAGAGTATTTCCAAAGAAGACATACTATTCAGGTAATGCTATTCATATTCGACAAACGAGAAAAGGATGATAAAAAAAAGGAAAGATCAAAGAGTTAAAATACTGGAATTTTATAAATCCATCAAACTTAACCATTTTAATAATCATTGATTAAGTATTAAATTTATTTGAATGAAACTTCCAGAAAATATTATGCAAGGTAACTTTTCAATTAATTTTTTTCGAATTCTTTCGATGATTATCAAAATGCAAAAATTAATATCAAAATTAATTCTTTTCTTTCGAATTTTTTTTATTTTGAACTAGAATTTGATTCTTTCATGCAATTATATTTTTTCGTCGAGTGATTTTCGAGTAATTAAAGAATGATTTTTCAAATAATTTCCTTGTTGGATTTAATTAATTTGTCACTTTATTCATCCATTTATTAATCTATTGCTACCTATTAGTTGTTGTTTTAGACTTTTAGAACCACCACAACATGGACAATTATTAAAGTATGATCAACCAATAAATCAATTTGCTATCAGTGATATTACAACCAATAAGATATTTTACAAGCATGATGATAGTGAAACAACTGTTGATAGCATTGGTTTAGAGGTATCTATTATGATACCTAAATATATATTTTTTTTAACTATAATTAAAATAAAATTGCCAAGATGCTTTTTCATTTCTCTTGTTTTCTTTACAGATCAACCGATGAATTTTTCAACATTTAAAAGTAAAATTTAAAAAAAAAAAGAGAGATTTGATCATTCACTCCATATTAACGTTTACAAATTTGAATTTTAGACTGTGATAAATTCACCAGAAATGGTGGCATCAAAACGAAATATGATTTATAATATACCAATACGAATTAATCCTGTAAATGATGCACCGGAATTGAAATCGGGAATTGATTCGAAAACACTATGGATAACTGGTGACTCAAAGTATGATTCTAAATTGCTCATTCATTCGTGGAAATGAATATTTTTGATGCGTAATACTAGTAAATATGTTGTTAAAGTTTATGTAAAATGCAACAAAATTCATTTATTTCATTCATTTCACTAATTCATTAATGAGCAAAACGTAAAGAGAGGGAGAAAAAAATGATAGTAGAAGGATTAAAAGTGGAAAGGAAGACGAATTTTTTGAAAATATTGAAATTTATGTTTAAAATAATCGCTCGAGAAATCAAAAATATGGCATCAAAGTTACTCGTTATTCTTCAAACTTTTCACTAATAGAATATGGCATTATATATTTGGCCAGATATCTTTGTACACTGCAAAGCCTGCAGATAGATTTTTAACAAAATTGAAATAGTCCTAAAATTATCAGCGATATAAATTCTTATCAGTGTTATAAATTCTTAATTCTTTGATATAAATTCTTACATGAAGTGTAAAGGATCAGTAGGTCTTCTCGTCTAGTTGTACTTTTCCTTCTTCTATTGCTTCTTATATATGCAAAATTTTTGGACAAACATATTTCAAGGCTTACGTTAGATAACCGAGCAATAAGCTTGTGGGATGCGGATAACGATCCGGAAACAGTGTTTGTTTCGGTTATCGCTGCTGATGGAGTGCAATTGGAAGATTCGGGAAGGAAGAAAATTCAAAAATTCACCCAAGGAGACTTTTTAAATAATGATTTAAGTTATCAGTTCGATTAAAATATCGAAAATTTCCTAACAAATTAGTAAGGAAAATTGTAATCAATCTTATGCATTTTGTTTCCTCCACTCTTGATTCTTAGTTAGGATAAATTGAGAATGATTAGAGAAGATGAAAGTGACAAATTTGAATTTAGGTACCCTGGTCGTAACTATCCTTAACACTGATAGTAATTACTCATAATCAGTTCTGTTGCCATTTGAAGTACGATTTATCTATTTTTATTGAATTTTATTACGAGATGATCCTTAACACCGATAGCATATCTAAACAAAGAATGTAAATCATATTTAAGATATAATAAAAATAATGATTAAGGAACAAATGTTATGAAATGATTTTACTGTGTTACCATTTCAGGTTCATATTATTCCTACAGGTAAAAGAAATCAGGGTACGTTAAAATTGATTGCTAGTGATGGTGAACGACAATCTGATGTGCTTCAGTTGACAATACATTTTGCACCGATTGAAATACAATTGAAGGCTAATACAGGTATCTTATATTATAGTTGCACATGGAGTGATCAATAAATAGCAATAAAGAAATGATTTAGTAAATAAGCGACAAACAATAGATCCGATAGATTGATCAGTAAAACGATAAACGATAGATCGGAAAAGTAACAATTTTATGATCAAATGATCAAATGAGCAAAAATAGCAAATGTATTGGAACAAGTAAAATGAACAAATATTAAGATAAATGACAGAACAACTAAATGTGACAATTATAGGTTTAAAAGTAATCCATCAAACAGCAACCATTATCTCATCAGCAAATTTATCATTTGCAACAAATCTTCCCGGAATATCAATTCAGTATACCATTGTTGATCAACCGGAATATGGTGTTGTACAATGTCGTAATGGTTTGGGACAATTTGAAATTTGTTCAACATTTAGCCAAGATGATATTGATAATTCACGTGTACAGTATAAACATTCCAGTGTTATAAATCCATTACTTGATACCTTCAGCTTTCAGGTATTTATTAATGAATATAATGAATTTATGAAATTTTATTGAAAATAAAAATAAATTAGATTTAAAAATTTGCAACATTCTTAACTTTTATTTCAATTTATTCGCCAAAAAAAAAAATTTCCCTTTTTTCTTATTTAAAATTAACAATAACCATTTTGTAATACTTCATTTTCTTTATGATCATTTTAGATTCAAGCTGATACCACAACATCAATGATACACGTTTTTCGTATAACATTTATTCCGGTTCATGTTAAAATTTTTAATCGTATTCCATATCTATTAAATAACACGGATAATTTATTGATAAAACGAGAGAATTTATTTGCTTGGACATTCCCAAAAAGTTTTCCAACCAATCAACTTGTTTATCATATCATTGAACCACCAAAATTTGGCACATTATTACGTCGAATTGAGAAAAATCGCAATCGACGAATTGGTGTTTCATCAAATTTCACCCAAAAGGTATATATTTATTGTATAATATGCAAATTTTGTACAAAAAAAGAAAAATTGGTCAATTTAATTTAATCATGCTGTTCTATTTCATTATAAATGATTGATAAAAACACGTTTGTCATCGCAAAAATCACTTATTATACAAATTATTCCGTTAATCTGATAAATTTAATTATTAATCTAATCAATTTAATGATTTACTTTCATTTAAATTCAAGATTTGAATTTCGAAATTTAATAGATTATGACATTCCAATCTCGTTATCTATTCATTACTTTACTTATATCGCCTTTTTTGTCCTTTCTTGTCACCAAATCATTTTGTGATGTATTTATTTTTTTTCATGAATACAATGAAAAAAAAAAATCAATTTTACTAACTCATTCTTCGCATATTCATCCAGTTTGGGACTAAAGTACTTGAGTAATTAAATTTGAAAATTTTAATTTAAACGAGAATAAACCGAAAATATTTTGTAAATATATTTTTATGGTTAAGATATCATCGCATTGTTATGAAATTTGAATTGCTGAAACGAAAATCGTATCATACTTAATGATTGGTAGATTGGATATCAAACTTGAATACTTTAGAATCATTTATATTTAACTGAATTTAACATTTCATATTTCAGCATATTGATGATGGTGAGATTACCTATAAAATGCATTTTGTGCAATATTCCATTGTCAATGATTTTTTCACTTTCCGATTAATCACACCATCGGTGACATCAGAGAAAGTCCTTTTTGAAATAACATTTATTCCGGGACGTGGTTCGGTACAGCTCATTAATCGAACTGTTATTGTTGAAGAAGGCGGTATTCAAAAGGTTAATTTTTGGAATTTAAATTAACCGATGATAGTTGTTTTTGAATTCAAATTAAATTTTTAATTCTCCATTCTCCTTCTCAATTGTAATGTTTCGGATTTAATTCATATCAAAATTTAAATTGTATTTTTGATGTGTAAAAGAGAATCCATAGAAATCTTTGGTTCATTAAATAATTAAGGTCATATTTTGAATCCAAAAGTTTTAAATTTCAACTTTGCACATCAATATTTATAGATAACCAATGAGTCATTATCATTACGAACTCCGGATAGTAGCAGTTTTGTATTTACCATCGGTAATGCACCCATTTATGGTAATGTATTAGTGAAGAGAGCAACTGGAGAGCAGTACAAATTGATCGATGGTGATAATTTCACTACTTCGGATGTTAACAATGGCAAGTAAGTGAATTCATCCAAGTAAATCAAATCTTTTTCTATCCTTCTAAGAATTCGTTCCTATTTCAAGATTTAAAAAATTAAAGTGATAAAATGATAAGTGACAATAAATCAAGAATCTTCAGTGTCTTTTATAAACATATGGATGGTGAAAATCGCATTGATCAAGTTTTTCTCTTAGCTGAAAGTTCGTATCAGCGGACAAGTCGAGTATCATTCTGGTTAACAATCAGATTAATCTTGAAAAATGACAATATTCCAAGGCTTGCTGGCAGTAATATTATACAAGTAATATTACAGTCTTATCATACTTGACAAATTTTTCTGTCCAATTATTGACTATATAACAGTCTATTAAAGGATCATGATTATGAAACCTACAATTCATATTTAGGCTTTTTGATCTTCTGAATAACGCATAATTTGAAAAGGTCAGCTTTTAGGATGCTCTTGGTAACCTTTCGAGAATTTAGGCATGTGTTTTAATAAACTTTCCTTTATTTTTTAATTTATAAAATATTGCTTAATTATGAAATTAAATTGGCATTATATTTAATGTAAATTTAGGGATAAAATTTTAGATAACAGAACGTGGCCAACGTACACTATATCCATCATTGTTACCATGGATGGATGATGATATTGATGCTCAACCATTACAGTTTACTTTTCATGATAATTTTCGATATGCAGCTATCCTGTCCAATTTTTCGCCATCTATACCGTTGCATAGTTTCACTCAACGACAAATGCAATACGGTGAAGTGATAATAAGACATTTTGGACATAATAAAAAGTTCGAAATGAAGTAAGCATTAAAATCTGTGATAAGACTTTAACGCTTAATGATAAGACTGTAGCGATTATTGATAAGACTATAACGAAGTAGTGGAATGAAAAATTGCGTCCCGATGAAATGATGCATACATTATAGTTATACTGTATCAGATGGAGTACATGAAGTATCATCAGTGGTAGTAATCATTGCATCAGAACCTTTCATAAGGATTCAGAATAGCAATATAACAATTTTGATCAGTGATATATCAGCGACGGTAATCCTTGTACAATTAACAAATCGTAATCTTTCCGCTATAACTAATGTTGATGCAAAAAATTCGGATATTTGGTTTCATGTTACAACCGGAAATTGGATCTTTATTAGTAATTCTACTGAAAAATTGGTAAAAAATTTCACACAACAGGTGAGATTTTTTTGGAAATTTTTTTAAACTCTGAAAATAATTTGAATTTTTTTCAACAAATTAAATAAGCTGAATTAATTAACTAAAAATGAATATGTTAAAAAAAAAGAAAAAAGCTCATTGTTAATCTTTTATTTTATAGGATATTGATGATGGTTTAATATTATATCGTATCACTGCATTATCATTTGATGATAACGTAAATGAGCAAATTATCACAGCTACGGTTGCAAATTTAACAGTTAGAAAAATTTTCAAAATTTTGAAAATACAACTAAATGATAATGAAAGATATCATTTGGAAATGGTTACTTTAACTCCATTAATTGTACCATTCTCATCAATTTCACAAATTGATAAAAGCATTCTATTAGCGACAGCTTTGCATAAACAACCAAACGAAATTGTTTATGATGTTATCCGACAGCCAATGCATGGTTCATTAATATTGGAATCACTAAGAGGTATTCATAGCATTTCAGCTTTATGATACATCTTATCATTGTAAATTTTGCACTGATATGCAAATGAATCGTTTATGATAACTTCCAAACGAGAGAAGCATAAACGAATTGACAAAAAAAAAAAAAGAAAAATTACCCTTTCAGCAATTAATAACGGACGTAGCGTAATGCCAAGTAATTTCTTCGTTTCACGTTTTACGCAAGCACACGTAAATGCTGGACAAATACAATATTTACATAATGGTATATTATCAACACGTGATTCAATTATTTTTAACGTTTCCATTGATAAAGAAATGATTGGACCATATACGTTGTTTATTAATATTATAGATGATAAGGTAAATATGAATTTAAAGATTTTTCTTTTTTTTTTTTTTTTTTGGAAAAATAAGTGAAATTATAATTTAGTAAAATAAAAAAGTAAAATTATTATTCATTATTAATATCTAAAATCAATGAATAGAATTTCTGAAAAATAAATAAAATGAATAAAAATTACAAAAAAAAAAGTTAATACAATATTATTATAATTTTACGATGTGATTTTTAGATTGAATTATCTGTATCAAATATAACGGTTATATCCGGATCTAATAAAACAATAAATAACGATATTTTACATGTAACTAACAATGAAGATGATATAGAATTTCGGATTTTATCAGATCCGGAATACGGATGGCTTGTTCGTGATGTATGGAATATAACTAATATCAATACTATTAGACAATTTAATATTCAAGAACTCAACGATCAACGAATCAATTATGTAAATAATCCGATTAGTCATGAGCAACGTGATACTTTTATGATAGTAGCATGTACAACAGGAACACAACAATGTACCGAACCAAAACTAGTGACTGTTTTGGTACGGTATAATAATTTATACGGTAATTTTTCTTTTTCTTATAAAATTAATACATAATAAATTAAATTTAATTAAATATAAGTTTTGTGAGATAAAAGATTATTTATATTTGCAGAACCAGAATTGTTACGTAATGAAGTAATGAAAATGTGGAATACGTATAAAGCTCCAATCACTAAACACCATTTATTTTCACAAGTTTAACTCTTTCTTTTTTTTCCTCCATAAATTTTTGTATTTTTAATCTTTGAAATTCATAATTTTACAGATGAAATAATATTTAATTTGAGATAAATAAGTTATAATTAAAGTTGTTAAGTAGCATAAGTGACAATAATAAGTAACAATTAAGCAATTAAAATTGTTCCTTTTTATGAACAAATGAATTTTTACTTAATTACTACTATTATAAGTTAATTGTTTTGAATTAAATTAATTGAATTAAGGATGATGATACACCTATCGAACAAATACGATATCTTATCAATAAACCGTTAAATGGATATGTTGCTTATACAAATAATCCTTCAAAAGCTATTACAAATTTTTCTCAAGCAGAAATTAATAAATTGGAAATAATTTTTGTGAGAAATGAAGGTATCATTTTTGAAATAATTTTTTAAACATTTACAAATTATTTTTAAATATTTTTTTACTAATTTTTTTCACAAATTTTATGAATAAATTTAAAATAAATTTAAATAAATTAGAATAAATTTGAAACTTTTTAGCTAATTTTTAGATACGATAGCAATTGGTGGTGGTTTTTCATTTCTTGTAAGTGATGGATTTCATCAAATTGGTCCTGAATGGTTTACAATTGAAAGTATAAAAGGATCTATGATTACAATGAATGCAAATGGTCATCTTATAATACCACCAGGAAAATCTTCTGTTATTATTGGATCAGATTTATTGAAAGTTCAAATTCCAAATGTGACTTTTTTTTTATTTAAAAAATTTAAAATTTTCAAAGTATCATTTTATTGTGAATGATTGATTTTAGAATTGGATGGATGAAATGAAATGTAACAAATGACTTAAACAAACTTATCATAACTCTTTCTAAAATATATTAAATATTTTTTAATGATTAATTATTACAGATGGAATCAAATAAAATTATATATCGGGTGACAAAAATTCCACAATATGGAAATTTGTTAGTTTCGGATTCACCTACCAAGCAATTTACTCAAGAAGATATCGATCAATATCGATTAACTTATAAAGTAAATATTGATTTACTCGATGAATGGATTAAAAGAGATTTGTTTCTGTTCAAAATTTTCATCAATGATTCAATGATTGATTCAATGGTTAATGAGGAACGTTTCAAAATTTCAATTACCTATGCGGCATTACCGTCACATCGTTTGCATGAATTCATTCAACTTCATAATGTTATTGTTTCACCTGGTAAGTTTTAACTATTTGAATGTAACAAGAAAAATGTAATTGATAAGTAATCAATAAATTTAAGCTACTAATAACAAATAAGCTCAAACTATTAATAAGTGATAAATAAGCTTAAGCGATCAATAAGTGATAAATAAGCTTAAGTGATCAATAAGTGATAAATAAGCTTAAGTAATCAATGAGTGATAAATAAGCTTAAGTGATCAATGAATGATAAATAAGCTTAAGTGATCAATAAGTGATAAATTAGTTTAAGTAGTTAAGAATAAATAATTGAAACAATTAAGAGAGAAATACGTTGTAATATCAATGTATGTTAAAAAAGATGTTTCAAATGTAATAATCAATAAAGTAAAATTATCTAATGAAAAAATGAGGACG